CTGGAGAAGGTGGACATTTGAGCTGAATAGGCCTCCTCCAAGCAGGTAAACTAAGAGGATCCTAAAAACCAGAGGAGATGAGTTGTTCTCTCTTCCCCATGTTAAAGAATGTCCTCAGTCCCTTTGTTCAGTGTAGTTTCTCATTCCACCCCCATTCTGGTCATCCTTCAGGACGTGGCTTGCTTAATGGCTGTCCTCCTTCAGATGTGACCCCTTGAAAGGAATTCAGTACTTCCCATGCAGTTGGGCCATGTTGAGGCGAAGAACTAGCCCCTTCCTTGTTTTGACCCCAGGCCACCTGAGCCACCTGACCTCCGCCATTCCTCTGAAGAACCTCTTTGCCCCAGTCAGAAACATCGTTTTATAATTCCCATTGCTTGTACAACATGCCCTTCCCTACACCTGGAATTTTTGCGTGTTCATTCATTCCAAATATGTAAATTAGGCACCATGACCTCCTTATTCCTGTCAGTATTTCTCATTCCTATCTGCCTTTGAAGGTCCATCTCAAGTCCCAACTTCTCTTGAAATTCCTCCTTATTACGTTATCTCAACTGGGCCTTCCCTGCATCTGAGTAGTCTTTTTTTTTCTTTTTTGGCTAGGCAGTGGGGTTAAGTGACTTGCCCCAGGGTCACACAGCTAGTAAGTGTTATGTGTCTCAGGCTGAATTTGAACTCAGGTCCTGCTGTATCCAGTGTGCCACCTAGCTGCCCCATGAGTAGTCTTTTCATACCACCTTAATTGATTCACTCTCCCTCTCTCCACAACGGCTTTTCCAAACCTTTTTGTCCTCAACTGAGAACCTTGCTTTGTATTTCACTTAAAAAAAAAAAAGACACTTTGCCAAGAGCTGCCCCTTCCTCATCTCTCCCGACTCAGATGCCTTCTTTCCCTGTCTCCCATGAAGGGAGACCCTTCTCCATAGTGCACTCTTGGTCTCATCCCCTCCCCTGTCTTCTAATCTCACCCAACTATTAACTGCTGTTCTGATGCCTACAAACAAGCCTGTTTCCTCCATTCTAGAGAATCCTCGCTCGATCCAGCCATCTCTACTAGTAGTGGTTCTCTGTCTTTATCCCTTTTGTGCCTAAACTCCATGAGAAAACGTCTTGGTCATTGCCTCCACTTTCTCTCCCTTCACTTGATTCTGAAAGCATTCAACTAACACAACTACTCTTTCCTAAGTTAGCCATGATCTCTTTTTTTTTTTAAAATTAAGGTTTATTTTTTCAATTAGCAAAAATGATTTTTCTTTCCCTCCCACTCCCCCCTCTCACTAAGACCATTATTTTCTTAATTGCCCAATCTGATGACCTTTTCTCTACCCTCATCGTTCTTGACCTCTCTGCAGAGAGCCTTCGACACTGCCAGTCATCTTCCAGATCCTTTCTCTCCAGGTTTTCATGGTACTTCTCTCCTGATTCTTCTTCTCAGACCGTCACACTTCAGTCTCTGTTTACTGTGTCTTCATCCGGGCCACTCCCGCTAAACATGGCTGCCCCCCAGGGCTCTGTCCTGGGCCTTCTCTTCCTCTGTACTCTCTTGCCTGGTAACCCTAGTTTCCCAGGGGTTCAGTTCTCTTCACTATGCAAATGATTGCCAGGAATTTTTGCCCAAACCTTACCTTTCTTTCCTGAGCTCCTGTTTGGCCTCTTCAGCTGAGCATCCCATCGACGTCTCACGTGCAACAAAGCAGAACTGCTCAGCTTTCCCTGGGGCCCTGCCCGGGTCTGCACTTTGCACCCTGGGCATCGTCCTTCACTCCTCATCCACACTCACCCACTTCTCCCGTCTGTTGTCAGAAGTTCGCCTTGTTGCTCTCTTGTGTCTCGTCTTTGTCCTCGTCTTCTCGTTCACACAGCCACCTTTCAGACACAGGCCCAGGCCCTCCAGTCCCTTTTCCGTGCAGCTGTCCAAGCGAGTTTCCTGAAGGGCAGGTCTACTAAGGTCTTTGCCCTCCCTCATTCAGTAAACTCCAGCGGCCCCCCAACACCACCGATGTAAAATCTTCTGTGAGCAGGAGCTCTTTGTGCCCTGGCTCCTTCCTCCCTTTCCAGTTTTCTTGTACCTTATTCCCCTCCACAGTCTCTCCTACCCGGCAACACTCTGTCAGTAATCTTTTAAAGCTCCTACTGTGTGCGTGCAAGGCGTTTACAGTCGAATGAAGAACGCACCACACACAGGGCAGCAGAAAAGAGAGGGGAGAAAGGAAGAAGGCAGCCTGCCTTGTAAGAAATGAAGAGATGGCTGGCCTCCTTAAATGGAGATTTTGGGACTCTACCCTTCTCTCTGAAGGAGGATGGGCCCCACTTGCCAAGAGGACTGACCGGTGTGAGCCTCTGGGCTAATGTGATCTTTCAGGTCTGAGTTCGAGAGCAGAAGTGATCTTGGAGGATGAAGAAGTTGCAGGGGGCTCAGGGGGAGAAGTCCAGGAGTATTTCTCCATCTCCCAGCCTCATACCTGGGATACTCAGCTCCATCTCCTCTGCCTCTTAGCTGTCCTAGCTTTCTTCAAGAGTCAGCTCCAATCTCACCTTCTGGCTCTTCCAAGTCCTGTGCTGCCAGTGTCTTTCCTGTTGAGATTACCTTCCATTTACACTGGGTATACCGTTCTGAATGAGGGTAGGCACTGCATACATGCTTATGTAGAGAAACGTACACATATATGTATTCCTTATCATGTCAACCCAGTGCAGTCTGGCTCTCAGTCTTATCACTCAATTGAAGTGGTTCTTTCCAAAGTTACTAATGGATATTTTCTTTATTTTTAAAATTGGTTTATTGTTTTGTTTTCACAGTACCTCCACCTTCTACTTTATTCCCTCCTCCCGCTCTTTCCCAGAGAGCCATCTATTATAATAAAGAATTTTTAAAAAATTATAAGCAGAAGTAACCGACACAACCAACACATTGCAGAAATCCAGCATGCGCCGTGCTTCTCCCATGGCTCGTGGGCACCTCTGCACAGACACAGGGAAGCCGTGCCTGGGGATTGTAACTCCACAGTTTTGTGACTGGAGCCTTTTATCATGTGGTTGTTAATGAGAACTGTCTTCTTAACCTTTGATCAGTTCTTTATTGAGGAACGGCTTCTAGTCTTCAGTCTTCCAGTTGTCCCTATGTCTTGTATATCAAACTCTTATCAGAGAATTTGATTTGAGGTTTATTTTCTGGTTTTATCACTTATTTGCCTCCTTATCCTAGTTCTTTGGGTTTTGTTCATGCAAAAACTTTGTGATTTTTTTGTAATCAGAATGAATTATTTTATCTTTTGTAACCGTAGCCATCTCTGTCACTTATGTGATTAAGAATTCATTTGCTACCCCTAACTGTGAAAGGTGTATGATCCACTTATTTTTCTCATTTAATATGTAATTTTTAATAAATCGGGTCATGTATCCATTTTGAATTTTTGGAGGTATGTGGTACAGGAGATTGGTCTAAACCTAGTTTGTGCCCGCTGGCTTTTCACTTTTCCCAGCAGTTCTTATCAGATGTGGAATTCTTTTGTTTGTTTGTATTTTGTTTTATTGGTGTGGCAGTTGGGGTTAAGTGACTTGCCCGGAGTCATACAACTAGTGAGTGTTATGTGTCTGAGGCCGGATTTGAACTTGGGTCCTCCTGACTCCAGGGCGGGTGCTCTATCCACTGCACCACCTAGCTGCCCTAAGATGTGGAATTCTTTATTAGGTAATTTGTTTTAAGGTTTATCAGACTGGGTTATTGGGGTCAGTTATTTTTGATTCTTCCTTGTCTAATTCTTTCTATTGATCTACTTTCTTACTTTTAAACTAATACCAAAATGGTTCTGATGATTTATAATTTAGTTTGAGGTCCGAAAGCTCTACCCTTCAGTCTTACCCTGTCCTTTCTCTTGATATTCTTGATCTTTTGTTTCTTTAAATGAATTTTCTCATTATTTTGTCTAGCTTGTAAAGTATCCTTTTGGTCGTTTGCTATAACACTAAATACGTACATTGATTTTGGTGGTATTGTCATTGGTGGTATTTTATTAGATGGCTCAGCCTCGCTGTGAGCACTGAACGTTCTTCCGTTTATGTTGTTCGTTTCTTTGAGGAGCTCGTGGTGATTGCGTCTACCGTAGTATCAAGGGTGCTTGGGTAGATGTGATCTCTCAGTTACCCAATCTGATGGCCTCTTCTCTGGCCGCGTTCCCCTTGACCATCCTCTCCTTGGGTACTCGGTAGTAACGTGTCAGCTCTGATTGTCCTCTGCTGAGGTCTCCTTGGTCTGCTTTGTGGACTCACCGTCTGTATCCCACTTCCCCAGCTTGGGTGCCCAGTTCATCTCCTGTGGTACGTTACTCCGCCACACCAGTCGTCCTTGGAAATAGACCTGGTCAGGCCTCTCCTCTGCTTGGAGTCCTTGAGGATTCTCAAAGATGCCCCTTTTGCCTGGGAGGTCAAGTGGGGGTGTCTCATGCTTCCTCCTCTAGCTGTTCTCCAGCTTTTTCCTGCCTGCGATGTTTTCCTTCCTATTCCTCTGCCTGGAAGCCTGTCCTGAAAACCCGGTTGACTTGTCCTTTCTTCACTGATGGCCTCCTCGCTCCACCGGGGGCTGTGGTCTTCCTCCTTGTAGGCCTTAGGAGCACTTTTTCGCTGTTCTCTTACATTCATAGAAAAGGCCCTGCTGTTATAAGGTAAGTTCAGGGAAAGCAGGAACTGTGCTCTCTCTGCATTGAGGGTCTCCATCAGCACCTGGCACAGTGCTCTGTCAATGAGAGTGGCTTGATGGGGAATCTCATCGGATTTCTTGGGTTTACTGGTATTGCCAGTGCAGTTTTCTTGCCTGATCCAGTTGAGGCTGAGGGTGGGAGCCACAATTTTATTGATGTTGTTTTCACTTATTTTCACAGTTCACAATAATTATTATTCACAGGTTGCTTCCCTGTGAAATGTATGTAGACCCTCAGGCGAAGAAAGGCCAAACAAAGTCCTGTGACTTTTCTTTGTAATTCTCTTTCTTTTGATCATTTCAGTCAAGCTGCTGTTTCAGCCCAGGCCACATCCAATACTGACCCAGCCCGACCTGCTGCTGCCCAGGCTCCCAGTCTGGCCAATGTCCCTGCACAGGAGCCCCCGCCTGGCCCAAATGCCGGGGCCCCGGAGAACCGAGCCCTGAATCCCAATGTGCAGATGAATGCCCAGGGAGGCCCTGTGGTCAACGAGGAGGACTTGAACCGAGACTGGCTGGACTGGATGTACACGTTTTCTAGAGCTGCCATCCTCCTTAGTATTGTGTACTTCTACTCCTCCTTCAGCCGCTTTGTCATGGTCATGGGCGCCATGCTGCTGGTCTACCTGTGAGTAGAATTCATTCCGCGTGCTCACGTTCCCCGCCGCCTGCTGAGCCCTTCCTGGGCTTTATCTGAGTGGCAGGAACAAAGAGTCTCTCCCCCTCCACCAGAGCTCCTTTATCTGATGGGTGCCCTTTCCTTCTGCCCTGGCCCACATGAGCAGCAGCCCGAGGACTTGAGGTTCTTCAGTGAGCTCCAGGCAAAGTCTGTCCTTTGCAGATGGCGCTTTCAGTACCAAGCCCTCCAGGCAGGGCTTGGGTCTGTGTGGGCAAGATGACCTTTCAGTGGTTTCTGAAGTTTCACTGATATCCAGAAGATTCGTGGGCCTAATGTGCTGTCAAAAGAGCCGGTCAATAGTTTAAAGTACGAATGCGCCCTCAGACCACAGTGGGTTTCTCTCCTGGGGAGAAGCCCACGGGGGGGTGTGGTGTGGCCTGAGACGTGAGCCGTGGCACTGATCCTAGCTGCCCGAGGAAATCGTCTGGATGGCTTGTTTCACTCGTGAATAGGTGATTTCCCCCACTGTTAGATGGTACAGCCATTTCTGATTTCTAATTCTTTTTCTCCTTGTGTTGCTGCGTAGACACCAAGCTGGATGGCTTCCCTTTAGACAAGAAGGAGGGCAGCTCCAGGTCCCCAATAATGCTGATGTGAACCATGATGGGCAGAATGGGAATAATCCAGACCTTGAAGAAATGGTATGTTGGCCTGGAGCTCAGGTCTCTCCTAGTCACTTCTTTCCCCATTCTGCCTTGCGTCTGGAGCTTCAGAAAGGGCAGCTTGGTTTTCTCCTCCTAATTCCATGACCTGAGGCTAGGCGAGGCCAGCGGGTTGTGCACGTGGTGAGGTTCTCGCCTCCTCTCTTCGAGTCCCGAGCGTGGTCTCTCGTTCGCCTCCTTCTGTAAGGCTGGGGTGTGCAGCCGCCCAGGTTCCTTTCCTTCCCATTCAGATCACCCGCTTCCATCTTCCCTCCGGGGCTCCAGGGAGAACGGAGCAGGGTGAGTCCCTCACAAATGTGGTTTTTGTTTGGTTTGAAAGGAGCGTCTGATGGATGACGGACTTGGCGATGAGAGTGAAGAGGATGCCGGGGAGGACGCCGGGGCTGGGCCCCAGCCCGGGCTCCTGGCTTCAGCCTGGTCCTTTGTCACCACCTTCTTCACTTCACTCATCCCGGAAGGGCCTCCCCAGGTGGCCAATTAGACCTGACCACCTGTGCCAGCCAAGAAAGAGCTGTGCCGAGAAGTGGGTTGGACTGGAGGGGAAGTGTTTTAAATAACAGTGCAATTTCCAGAAAATTTATAACTTTCTTTTGATCATGTTGTAAAAAGGTGTTTTTTTTTTTTCAGCTTCTCATGCACATGAATGTTTTCAGCACAAGTGAGCTTCAAAATGTGTGCTTTTTTAAACATCCTTTAAGGAGGAGCGCAGTGTGACAATGTTGGTCTTCCATGTTTTATTCATTTCAATTACGGATATTATAGCAAGAAAAAATCGTTGTTAGTGCATATTATTCCTTTAAAGAGCTGTTTAAAGTAAAAGTGTCTACAGCAAGGAGCCTGTGGTCCTTGAACAATGTGAAATTTGAATACGCCCATTTTCTGTGAATGACCCTCAGAGTTAAACAGGTGATTTTTATACTTGTAGTTTTTCCAAAGAATGCCCATCACACAGAATATGCTAGCGTTATCTTTTCTTCTGCAGTACAGCAATAAAAGCCCTCTTCATGCTTGTTGAAAGCTTGACATTTTTTAAACAAGTTTTCTGATGCCAGAATCAATGATGGAACTTTTCTTTTGTAGAATATACCCTATTAATTGGAACTAACCCTTTTAAAACCAATAAACAAGCAGCTCTTCAAGGGAATTAACAGTCATGTTTGATTCATTACAAATGTTTGATATATACAGTACTTTTTATAAAACAAGATGTACTGGAAATCAATCCCTATAATTAGTTTTTTTAATAAAAGGTCAATTATAGTAAACTGTTTGTGGAATTTTTGTTGAATCATCTTCAGTAGCTTGCTGTTACGCTTCAGCCCTCGTGTTCATCAGCATAATGGCTTAATTGAAGACGGCAGGAAAAGCCTCGAGGTCAGAGGTCGGCTTACGGGAGCTGGATGATCAAATTCAGGGAGTGATTGTCAGATGACCAATTTAATACTGTGCTGGAGAAAGACATTTCTTCCTTACGGAGAAGCATTTTTGCAAAACTCGATTAAGACCAGAAAACTGTTTACTGGAGATACGGCATTGGGAGCTTCACGGTGCCCAGAGCTGTGTCTGGCCTCTGTCCTTCCTGGCAGTGCTGGAGACGGGCTGGTCATGTGTTTCTCTCTGATTTCCTCTTTTGTGTTGTCTGAGCCTACCTTTCCTTTTTGTGATACCCGCCTGCACAATCATAAAGTCTGATTGTTTCAGAGAGAGGGTGCCCTCTGTCTGAATTTCTTAGTACATTGTGCCTGGGCCCCAATCACTGGAATTTCCTGATTTTAATTCTTAGTTTAATTCCAGTAACAACTTTCACGTATTCACTTCCATGAGGTTATAGTCTGATGCTTCCTTGAGGTGGTCCTGGGTACTTGGAGGTTACACACGTACGGGGCAAGCTCTGGCGACGTCTCCCGGCTTGGGCCGGCTTCCCCTACCCATGCAGCAGCAGGTGAATCTGCCCGTGTAAGACTCACCTGGCCAGCTGTGGAGAGGTTAATCCCTGGGAGATGGTTACTTATGGCAGCCCACTAGACAGGTGCCGAGTGGCTCTCTTCTGTTGTGACAGTGGTGAAGTTGTGGAGATGGGGATGCCAGAGAAGGAAGGAAACAAGTGTTTATTAAGGGCGTACTACGCGCCAGGCCCTCTGCTAAGCTTTGGGGATGGAAGCCAAAGCAAAAAGAAAGACAGTCTCTGCCCTCTGCAGGCTGAGGAGGGAAGACGGCAAAAGGACCTGAAAAAGGGCGTGGGGGTGTGAAGGTGCCCAGTACAGGCCATGGTTTTAAAGCCCAGAAAGTCAGGAATAGGACCTAGAGGAGAATGAAGGCCTGCCGGCCTGCACCCCTGCACAAAGTGGAAGCTCCAGGAGCACCTCACCAATGGGTGACGTGTGCCGGCTTAAATGAGGGATGTTTTGAGGTGAGAAGAGCACAGGTGAGGTGGGATGTTCCAGGTCGTGGAGGCCCCAGGCACCGAGAGAGAAGTTCCAGGGGGATGCCATCTATTGGTGAACTTGGTTTCATTCCACCTCCTCTTAACCTTGGTTGTCCTTGGATGACTGACAGTGAGAGCAGCCCAGAAATGAAGTCATACAATCCCAAGAATCAAGAGAAATCCTTAGGGCCACCAGCTTTGTCTCCTGGAGAATATTTTACTGTTGGGACTATGGTGGAAGTTGGAGCCGTGTGAGGGAGCGCCATATTGGACTCTACTGAATTCGTGAATGGTGCCAGGAAGTGGACCTTTTGCTCTCCCGCCATGATGCCATAGGGGTCATGAGAGGATGTGAGCTGGTAAGGGAGAGATTTGACTGACTCCACATGTTAGCAAATGTCTATTAAAAGTCTCCTGCTGGAGACTTGGGCCCGATGCCGTGGCAGGAGAGTGTTGCCAACTCTTGCTGCACATTTGATGGCACAGGGTTCCCTGGCAGCCTTGGGATCTTCTGTGTGTTGGCTCTTTCTTTCTGGAAGAAGATAAGAAAAATGTAAACAACATGCTAGTCATAACAAACCATATCCACAGGGAGAGGCACTTACCCCTGCCAAGAGGTGGGGGGAAGTCTTTGACCACATAGGGGGTGGTGGTTGTTGAATCATTTTTCAGTTGTGGCCTATTCTTTGTTACCCTTTTTGGGGTTTTCTTGGCAAAAATACTGGAGAGGTTTGCCATTTTCTAGCTCATTTTACAGATGAGATAACTGAGGCAAACAGGGTTAAATGACTTGCCCGGGGTCACATGTCAGGCAAGTGCCGAAGGCCGGATTTGAACTCGGTCCTCTTGATCCCAGGGCTGGCACTCAATCCACTGATCCACCTCACTGCCCCATCCGTGTGGGACTTTCCTGTTAAAATCCAGTCTCGAGGGGGAGAGGCTTTGCGAACAAACCCCTGCAGCATTGCAGTCTGAGCATTCCAACTCCACGCTGCCAAGAATCCTGAGAAACCTGTGGCCTGAATCAGCATGTGGCACATGTGGTGGAATCTGTGAAGCCACAGGCTTGATTATGTCTGCTCATGTTCGAGCACCATCGATAAAGACACAGAAGACCCCAGACCAACGTGTCTTCTCAGCTGAGAGAGCAAGGGAAGGGGCCTGGCCCCAGCCTTCGCTCAGAAAAGCTGTCAGACACAGAACAGTACCATGATCAGTTTTATTGTTAACATCTTCAGTAAGGTGACAGAGGTCTGCTAAGAGATCTTGGAGCACCTGGAAGACACATCATAGTGGGGTGATGAAAGCCATCCCTTAGCAATCCACAGAAATGTCCCTTCTCTCCTTCCTACCCAATTCCCCTCCCTTGCCCAAACTGAGAATGAAAGAAAAACAGGCATTCTTACCAATAGTCAAGCCAAAGGGATTTCAGCATTGTCTCCTGCCATCAAGTCCTTCCCCTCCGTCAGGAGGTGGGCAGCAGCTTTCATCGTGAGTCTTCTGGAATCATGGTGATCAAACCAATTAGAGCTCCTCATTCTTTTAAAGGTGTTTCTCTTTACCATATCGTTGCCTTTGTATAAATTGTTTTTCTTGTTCTGCTCACTTAACTGCGTCAGTTCATAAAATTCTTTCCCGGTTTCTCTGAAACCATCTCCATTATTTCCTACAGCACAATAGCATTCCATCACATTCCCATACTGTAACTTGTCTGGCTATCCCCCAATTTAAGGGCACCCCCCTCAGATTCCCATTCTTTGCCTCTTCAAAAAGAGCTATAAATACTTAGAGTTTGTTTTACTTAGGGCTAATTCCGCCATAAATTTCCCTTCTCCCTTCTCTTTCCCTCCTATTTTCCTGTTGAGTGAAATGTGTTTCTGTACCCAACTCTGTGCATCTATTCTTCTCTCCTTTGACCGTTTCAGGTGTGAGTAAGGTTCAGGTGTCAGCAGCTTCTCCCGTTTATTGTATAACGATCTAATTGAACACCCTCAGGTGAGAGATGGGCGACAGGTGGACACCCAAGGTGGATGAGCAGCCCTCAAAAGGACCCGGCAAGCCTTCATACTGACAGTCGACACCAAGAAAACAGGTTTTCTACCAGCCAGCCGTGCACCATCCATACATGGAACCATCGGTTCCAGCAAATGGAGAAATGTTGAATGCTGTGGGTGAGTTCACTTACCTTGGCAGTCTGTTTTCCAGGGCTGTCCACATAGATGATGAGGTGGACACTCACATTGCCAGAGCTAGTTCAGCTTTTGGGAGACACTGAAGGAAAGTGTTGGAGAGAACCACCTCCATGCCTCCCAAACTGAAGGTCTACAGAGCCATGTGCTGACCATCTGCGAACCCTGGACAGTCTGCCAGCGCCGTGCCAGGAAACGGCATGGCTTCCGTCTCAATTGTCTCAGGAAGACTCTGAAGATCAGCTGGCAGGATGAGGTGCCAGACACTGAAGTCGTTTCTCAAACTAAACCGCCAAGCATTCAAACTCTACTGCAGAGAGTGCAGTGGCGATGGGCTGGCCACGTCGTTTAAATGCCAGATGTATGTTTGCCTAAAAGATGATCAGAACGAGCGATCCAGGGATGCTAAAGGTGTCTCTAAAGAACTCTGGAGTTAATTGTGATACATGGGAGGCACCAGCACAGCACTGGCCAGCATGGCACGCCCTCATCAGAGAAGGCATCGTGCTCCATGAGCAGAGCAGAATCGTAGCTCAGAAACATGCAGTGCACAAATTGAGAGGCATCTGCATTGCCAGCGTTCATACGGACTGTTTGCGCCTGACCTGTGGTAGAGCCCTCTGAGCTTGTACTGGTCTGATCAGCCACAGTGGGCCACTGTGCCTTGTCCCCCGTCACTGAGGTCCTTGGTCCGCCAATACAAAGGACAAACAACAGTTGAACACTGATTGTAGGAGACGATTCTCCTTAACCGTCCTCGTAAGTGTTTTCCTCTTTCTCGCTTTTTCTGTTTTTCTTCTAAGATCTTTAATGCGTGCTAGTGATGATGATGATAAGCTAATATTTATGTAACTGTGCACCAGGCGCTGTGCTAAGCGCTTTTGTTGTTGTTCAGCTGTAAGTCGAGTTCAGTTCTTCGTGGCCCCATTTGGGGTTTTCTTTAGCAAAGATACTGGGGTGTTTTGCCATTTCCTTCTCATTTTACAGACAAGGAAACTGGCCAGGTACTTTACAGTTATCTAATTTGGTCCTTACAGTAACCATGAGAGGCAGGTGCTACTATTATCCCCATTTTACAGATGAGGAAACTGAGGCAGAGGTTAAGTGACTTGCCCAGGGTCACACAGCTAGGACATGTCTGAGGCTAGCTATGAACTCAAGTTTTCCTGACTCCAGACCCAGTACTCTGTGCTCTGTGGTGCCACCGAGCTGCCCTCATAATAGAAAAAAGTTTCTTTCAAACTCCATCCAGCCATTGACTGTGCTCCCTGGAATGTGTCTTCCTTCATGCTGAATCTCTTCCTTTCCCCCCTCCCAACGTCTCCAAGCTCTTACTGATGCCTGGCTCCCTCAGACGCCAGCACACCTTCCCTGGCCACTTTCATTCTTGGATCACTGGGTGAAGCGGGGGAGCTGGAATGCTCCTTGTTCCCCATCAGCCCTTCCAGGTTCTCCCCCTTTCTCCATCACTCAGTAGCCTCTCCTCCTTGAAGCTGGATGCTGTTCATGTCGTCCAGCCCATCGGAATCCTGGGAGCTGTTGTCATGCCCCTTTTTCCTTCAGTTAGTTGGATACCTGGCTTACAAGTTTTCTCTCCTCCCCAACTCTCATACTAGGGCATGTCAGCATATACTGTGATACTCTTTCAAATGCCCAAACCACTCAGATCACAGTCTACCCACTTCCCGTGAACGCCTCCTCCAGCCAACCTCAGGCACAAACAAATGGCCTGGCCATCACCCACCGATCTACCACCTCCATGTTCAGGAATTCCAAATTCCCTTAATTTGACCACAGCTTCTTGGCTGGCTTTCCACCTCGCCCTCTGTCTTCCCTTACGTAACCCAACTCTTAATCCACGCGCAGTGCAGTCCCTGGACCCCTCAATTCTCTCCCAGGCCATCTCCCCTGCACTTGCCACTCTGTCCTCCCTATCTTGACCCCTTGGTGAACCGCTCAGCCCTACACTGTTGTCCTCTCTTGAATCCCTGACCCCTTATATTGTCGATTCTGTCCACCCAAGGCCTGGCCTTAAGTCACTCACACCATTCGTTATCTTTGAGCCTATACGTACACGTGCTGCTGAATGAAGGTGGAGAAAGGTGGAGGTGGAGTCCTGTTCTGACAGGGTCCATAGTAAATTTATGTTAGACAGCCGCTAGGCAATTCTGCTATGCCCCACTTATCAACTCACTCCCACTCTCCACAGCAGCTTCTCAGCCCTCTTCAAACCTCCCACAGCCCACCTCCCCCCAACTCTCTCAGCTGAGAACCTGGTTCCTGTTTTTATAGAAATTGAGTGAGTTCCTCCCTTCCCCTCTTTCTTATCTCCCATCACTCAGGTCCCGTCTGCCCCTGTCCTGCTTCACCCTTATCTCTTGACCAACACCAAGCCCTGGACCTGCTTAAGTAATCCCACTCCATTATTCCATTCCATCTCCAGCAGATTGCCCCCTCTGTCATCCCCACTCACTTATTTTCAATCTTTCCCTCCTCACCCCTTCTCTACTGTCTGCAAACATGCCCATGGTTCCTTAACCTAGAAGAACCTTCACTTGGCCCTTCTATCCCCACTCACTATCGTCTCTTCTGCTCTTTGTAGCTAACCTTCTGCTAAGGGCTGGCTCCCATGGAGGGCTCTGCATTCTCTCTTCTTTTTCTCTTCCTAAACACCTTCCAGTATAGCTTCTGACCTTGTCCTTCCATCAAAATGGCTCTCTCCAGTTACTAGTGATCTCCCGGTTGCCAAATCCAAAGAAAGGGCTTTTCTCAGTCCTCATTCTCCTTGACCTCTCTAACCTTTGACACTGTTGATTGCTCTCTCCCTGACTCTCTTTTCTCTAGGTTTCTGGACACCCCTCTCTCCTGGTTCTCCCTGACACCTATCTGAGCACTCTGTCTCCTTTGCTGGATCTTCATCCAGCCCACCCCCACTAATGATGGGTGTCCCACAGGGTTCTGTCCTGAGTCTCCTTTCCTTCTCCCTCTGTCCTACCTCACTTGGTGATTCCCATCAGCTCCATGTAGTCAGTTACCATTTCTGTGCTGGTGATTCTCAAGTCAGCCTTTCCTGCCTCAGACTCATGAACTGGAAGTCCAGTGGACATTTTAAAAGGAGCCTGTCCTAAACAGAACTGCTTATCCTCCCCGCTATCCTGGACTCTCTGTCTGTCTCTGTCTCTGTGTCTCTCTTTATCTCTCCTCCCCTCCCCTGTCACCACAGTTTCTATGTAGAAATGTGTTTTGCTTGACTATGCATGTTTTTAACAGTGGCCTTTTTTTCCTTTCATGCTCAGTTAATGGAGGAGGGTGGTTGGGGTGGGAGAGAAATCAGAGTGTGGCTGATTGAAAAAAATAAAATATAGTTTTTAAAAGTCCCTATTGTCTAAACTGTAACATGTATTTGGAAGACCATTCCATTTAATTAGGACTTGTATCTGAATAGTTACCTGGGCCCACATCAGAATGAAAGGAAGAGGAATCGATAACAGTGCAATGATCCCAAACTGCTCCCCTACACAAAAGTCTATCTTTCTAACACTTGTGTTGACGCAGGGATTCTATAGGCAAAGTTTCAAGTCATGCAAATGTCAGTGGAGTCACTAAGATGGTAAGTTGGAGATGGACAGCCCAAAGGCCTGCCACACAGCTACCCATAAAATGACAAAAAAAAAAAGGCCTAGAGCAAGGCCATGGGACACAGCTCGGGGCAGGGCAGGATTGGGGACCTGTCAGTGAAGGAGGCGGTGGTTGGTCTGAGCTTTGAAGGATTGTTAAAATGTCAACAGGAAGAGAGTAGGGGGAAGGGCATCAAAAAAAGTGGCAAATCATACTGTGTTTGGGAACAGTGAATAAAGTTTGGCTGGCTCACGAAATTTGTGGGGGAGAGGGCATAACAGAAGAGAAAGCTTGGAAAGTAGTTTGCAGCCAGATGGTGGAGGCCTTTTTAAAAGGTGGTGGGGAGCCATCATGGCTTTTCAGCCTGGCAAAGTCGTGTAGGATGGATCAGACAGGGAAGAGTGTGGATTTGAAACCAGCAGAGAGTTACTGCCCCAAACCCAGGCCCAAACTGGAGTGTTGACAGTGGAAAACAGGGGAGGGCTGAAATGGAAAGCTGTTGCATGAATCAGGGGACCAGTTCATATCACCATTATAAAGGAAAACAACTTTGGAAGGCTTCAGGACGCTGACCAATGCCATCATCGGGCACAATGCCAGAGGGCAGTGAGGAAGGTGTGCAAGCACGTTGCCCACCTCCTGAGAGGGAAGTGATGAATGCCAAGTGCAGAATCAGAGGTGCCACATTTTTGTACCTTGCCCATTGTGGGGATTTGTGTTGACTCTATTTATTATAAAGATCTTTTCTTCCCAGTTGGGAGCAGTTGGGGAGGGGGTGGAGATAAGAGAATAGAGGAGTTAGCAATAGGGTTACTGAAAAGGGGAGAGAATAGCATTTATTGCACTCCTACTATGTGCCAGGCACTGTGCCAAGCGCTTTACAATGATCTAATTTGATCCTCACAACAACTGTAGCAAGTAGACACTTTTGTTATCCCCATTTTACAATTGAAGTAATTTGGCCAAGATCACACACCTAGTAAGGGTCTGAGACTGGATTTGAACTCAGGTCTTCCTAACTCCGGTCCCAGGACTCTCTCCACCATACTGCCTAAAAAATCAAGAGCCACTGACTCACTTTTTAAAAGTGCACGGAAGAGAACAGGAGGTTAAGAAGGAAGTCAGACAGCCTTGAAAGTTAAGGGGGAAAAAAATATTGAGGAAAGAACCACCAAGCAGGAGGGTAGCTGGAGGGGTTACCAGGCTGGTGCCTGGGACGTGGGAGAGCCCAGACCTTACATGTTACTAGTCTCAGGGTGTGGGCACCCTGGCCAATTCCCTAGGCTGGGGTGTCAGCAGAGTCTGAAGCTAAAGGTAGCAGTATGGCTCCAACAGTGCAATGGAACCATGTTCCTTGGAGAGGGAGATAGAGGCTGGCATGAGCAATCATATTATCCACTGGTGCTAGTGTGTGCTGGGTGCCCGTCCAGCCTTCCTGCTGATGTGGTGTCTGTGTGTGGGAGACAGAAATCCCCTGTTTGTGGGGGAGATGGTTTATTTCTTCTCTTTGCCATTTCAGGAAATGCCCTTTGCTCTGAGCTAATTGTGTCTTTTGGATGACTGCTAAAGAGCCCCTCACTGGTAGGGGCTCAGGAGCGATAGTCTTTAGGAAGGTGGACGCTCTGCGGACTCTGCACCCAGAGTAGCCCCTGCATTGGGAAATTTGGGGTTTTTCCAAGGGGAATCCCATGGGATTTCTGTTGGGACTTAGAGGAAGCCCAGGAAGCCAGTCGATAGACGTGGGGAGGGAGAGCATTGCCCGGAGGGCAGCCTGAGAAAATGCGTGGAGTCGGGAGATGGAGGGACACAGCCTTCCTGGATTTGAGGAGGAGCCGGATGCCGGTGTCGGGGAAGTGTAGACTTGGGGGAGCGGTGACGAGCTTCGAAGGCCGAACGGCATTTTGTACTTGCCCCCGAAGGCCACTGGGAGCCCCTGGAGCTTACTGAGTAGGGAGTGACCTGGTCGGGTCTGGGTTTTAGGAAAATCACTTGGGTGACTGGATGGGGAGACCCCGTAGGCAGGCAGACCCCCGCCCCGCGCCGCCTGTCGCAACGATCCAGGCTGGAGATGAAGAGGGAAAGGACCAGGGTCGGGGAGGACAAGCGAGGGATGACGTCACCGAAGTGGAATTGACCAGGCAGGTGTGCGCCTGCGCCAAGACCTCCTACCGCCTGAGGGAGCCTCAAGGCACAGGCGCGGGGCGGAGCCTGCCTTCTGTTCCCCCCCGCTTCCCTCTACCCCCCCCATGAGCGGAGCCTCACTTCCGCCTCATAGCCTGTCGGGCGGGCCTTCGGATCTCTGGAACCCTACAGGGGCCACAGACCGAGAGGACAACGACGCGTCCCGCCGGGCGGAAGTCACGCGGGGTATCCGGGGGCGTGGCCAGCCTGGCGGAAGTCACGCGGGACACCCGGGGGCGTGGCCAGCCGGGCGGGAGTCGCGCGGGGCATCCGGGGCGTGGCCAGCCTGGCGGAAGTCACGCGGGGCACCCGGGGGCGTGGCCAGCCGGGCGGGAGTCGCGCGGGGCACCCGGGGGCGTGGCCAGCCGGGCGGGAGTCGCGCGGGACATCCGGGGGCGTGGCCAGCCGGGCGGAAGTCGCGCGGGGCATCCGGGGGCGTGTCCTTGCGAGGAGGACGGGGGCGTGGCCTGGAGGGGGGGAACCGCCCGCTGCGGGTGGGCCGGGTCAGTCGGGCTCAGGATGAAGCGCCTGCAGGTTGTGCTCGGTCACCTGTCAGGCCGCCCGGAGCCGGGCTGGGCTCTGGGCCTTCAGGCCGCCCCATGTTCGGGCTCCGCGCCCGCAGCCCCCTCCAGGGCACCCGCCGACGACATCGTGGTGGTGCACGGGCGGCGCACGGCCATCGGCAAGGCCAGCCGCGGTGGCTTCAAGGTAGCGGGCCTCCCGTCCCCGGGCCGGACTCCGCTCGTCTCCCTCGCCTCGGATCCCCCCTCTCGGGGCTCCCCGGGCCTCGTCTGATCTCCCACCTCCATCCCTTTGTCCCCGCAGGACACGACGCCAGACGAGCTGCTGGCTGTCGTGATGACAGCCGTGCTGCGGGACGTGCGGCTGCCGCCCGGGGAGCTGGGTGACATCTGCGTGGGTGAGTGTGGGCCCGCAGCTCGAGGGGCGCTGCCCCCCCCCGGGGCCTTAAACATGGAAGGAAGCTGAGGCCCAGGGAGGGGAGGAGGGACCCTTCTTGGCCAAGGATACACTGGCTGAACTTGCTGCAATAATTAAGCGCCTACTGTGTACCAGACACTGAGCACAAAGTGCACAAAGACAAAAACAGAACTGTCTCCCCAAGGAATCCCGAATTATGACCCCTCCCCTCAAGTGATCAAGAACCCCACCCCGGCCAGAGGCCGCAGGCAGCCCTTTGCTCCCTGGGACGGCTCTCTCGGTCTTCAGAGTTTCCTGGGCCTGAACGCGAGGCGTCCTCTCTGTAGCTCTGCCCTCATCTGAAGTGCCCCCCTCTCTGCCCACAGGGAATGTCCTGCAGCCAGGGGCCGGTGCTGTCATGGCCAGAATTGCCCAGTTTCTAAGGTAAAGAAAGTTCTCCGAGCTCTTGGTCTGCCTGCCCTTTGACCTCAGACTTGGCAAGGGACACCAGGCCCACAGCTAGACCTGGAGCTGGGGTGTGCAGTCCTACAACCCCTCAGGACCCCAACCATTGAGCCCACCGAGAGGGGTGAGCGCACATTCCCCACGGCATTAAGGTCAACAAGCCAGCTGTAAGGTCAGCCCCCTGACCCAGCCAACACAATGGAGGCCATCTCAGCTGCACCCAGCCAGTTTAGGCCCCGGGACAATAGTTTGCTGTGGCAAAGATGGGATGGGGGAGGGGTTGATGGTGGGGAGGGGGGGCTGAAAATGGAAAACTCTTGGCCTTTGTAGATGCCAAAGTTAGATCTGTTTAGGAAGAAGGAATTCAGGAGTTCCGTGTTCATGATGCCTCGCAGCCATTGGCGAAGCTGTGATTGACCTTTTCCCTTATTACCCAACACTCAGCTGTAGACAGATTGCCTCTGGCTTGTTGGCACACTGTTGGACTTTTCCCCTGATTTGAGAGGAGGATCTATTAATTGAGTTCTTTAATTTCCAGGTCAGGTCAAAGCCAGGGAGTTACCTGCCATTAATTCCACCAAGGCATACTCTTCCTAGGATGGACAGAAATAAACTCTCAGGGAGGTGGGGCCAACCACAGACATGATAAGGGAATGTCTAGCCCATTGCTGGCCCTATGGCTGATGTCCGGCTCATTGGAGCTTCCTCGAGCCCTGATCTCCATTCCAAGGGTCTGTTGCAGGGCAGGCCCAGCCTGGATACCCCTGGTGGATATCTTCAAGGACCCCATCCATGGGAGCTGGGTATATGGGCCTGCGGAGTGAGAGCCAGCCTGGAGGCTCCTGTCCAGGGTACCCACTGACTTCCTGACAAGTCCAAGTTCACCCTTTGGAATTGGGAATTTGGACACTCGAGCTACCCACCTCCCTCTTTTCTCTGTGTCCGGTGTTTGCTCAGCCCCTCAACCCAAGACAAGGGTTGCCCTGTCCTGTCTCCTCAGCCTCTCTTAATATGACTTCTTCCTGTGCAGCCCTGTTTCTTTGTTGGCTAACAATGTTAGAGGAATCAGGCACTGTGCTTTTTCACCTTCATGTCTGTGTGTCCTTGTCTTTCAACTGGATCGTGAGCTTCCTGTGGGGACCATCAGCTTTTCTGGGTGGTCTGGAGGGCATCAGTGGCAGCTGACTGACGCTTACCGCATTTAGAGGAAGGATATTCCCCAGGCCCAGAGGGCAAGAACTAGAAAGGACCTTGGGGACCATGCCTTCCAGCACCTGCATTTTAGTGATTGAAATTACAGCCTGAAGAGATCAAGTAGCAAGTGACAGAGCCAGGACTTGAACCCAGGGCCATATTTCCAGGTTCACCACTCTCCACTGAAGCTCAGCAACTCTTTATTCCGTATATAAACCCAGGGAGTACATGGAGCTCTCCCTGGAGAGACTGACCAGGACCCAGGAATGGAAGCCAATGGAGGGGCTGGCAGGCAGGCAGTCCACACTTATTAAATGTCTGCTGTATGCCAGGCACTGTGCTTGGGATACCAAGAAAGGCAGAAGATCGTCCTTCCTTCAAGAACTTCACAGTCTAATGGGGGAGACCACAAGCAAAGAACACTGTACAAAAGCGCTATGTACAGAATAAATTGGAGGCAATCAGCAGAAGGAGGACACTAGTAATAAGGGAGATCAGGATGGGCTTCCTGTAGAAGGGTCCACTTTAGCCTAACTTGAAGGAAAACAAGGAAGTGCAGAGGCAGAGCTGGGAAGGAGGCATATTGCTGGCATGGGACCCTGCCAAGGGTAGGGAGATGGGGGGGGGTCTTGTTAGAGGAGCTACAAGAAGACCAGTGTCCTTGGGATGTAGAATTATGGGGGAGGGCATTATGAAGGGCTTTGAGGGCCAAACAGGATTTTATATTTGATCCTGGAATTTACTGAAAAAACCACTTTGGTGGCTGAATGGACAATGGATTGGAGTAGGGTTTGGGGGGGGGGAACTTGGGGCAGGCAGGACCCCCACCCTCCCAGCAGCTATTGCCATAGGCCAGGTGTAAGAAGATAAAGGTCTGCACTAGGGTGGGAACAGGGTCAGAGAGATGGGTAGGATTATTTTGGAGAGAGGTTGCAGAGTTGAAATCCGTAAGAGATGTAGCAGAGGTGAAATATACACAAGATGTTGCAGAGGTGAAATCAGTGAGAGATGTAGCAGAGGTGAAAT